TATATTTAATGTCACTAACCTTTATTCAAATTGAATAAAAAACTGGTGCCTCTTTTATCGTATATTTTTCCACGTCTATCTGCCTCAGCTTGTGAAATCACCTATAACAATTATGTTTGATGATACTTTAAAAAGTTTGGCACACAATATAAAATAACGTGGATTCATACTAAATTTACTTACCTCGCCAATGTATTCTCCCAAATACTCGTTTTTCTTGACTGGCTCTCTTACAAAAAGACCCCAGCCAGCAACGGTTGATTTTCCAACAATTGTACGCTAATGTAGAATGATAAATAGAAGAATTGACATTTGAATCAAGTTTCGTAAAGTATAAATCATGTCATAATTACCTTTGTCAAAGCTCTTTGTATAGCTACATTCTTACACGCGTGTCTACCCATAAATTGTGCAGTGGTCGGTTCTAAATAATAAAAAATTCGTTTATCTTGTAAATAAATAGTAATATAATCAGACCGATTCGGGAAATATATAATCTACCTGAGGCTGTACATCCGCATAAATCTGGATCACATTCACGGTAATTAGCAAAACAAACGCATGTTCTATTGCTGCACGATTTCCCAGCACCTGAACAGTTGCATCCTGGAAATCGCCGCGGACCTTTAAAATAAGGTTGATGTTTTGAAAACATTCGAAAATAGACATTTTAAATAATCAATAATTCCGTATAGTTTCAAAAATAGGCGCCCGTGGTTCGAACTATACCAATTTTGGCCTGCATTATAATTATTTTGGCTGGTATTACATGCAAAAAAAGGGCGCTTATTTTTGGAACTATACGTAAATAATTATACAAATGCTTACAATCTAGTTCACAATGACAGTACTTTTCACAAGGTACGTTGCCTTGTCTACAAGGACACGCTGTATCACAAGGTCTTCCAGGGTGATCACACGGGTGATATTCTGAATGATTTTCTGCGTCAATTTCTGAAATGGTTATATAAAATAAATTATCTATAACGCCTTTCTTTCTCATTTCTCAAGAATTAAATTCATATAACTGTCAAATTATTTTACCCATTTTTGCCATTTTCTTGCCCTTTTTTCGTGGATCATCTGATGACGAACCAATTTCAATATGCTCATCATCTTTGTCAATCTCTCCGAGTAATTGAGATCTACGATAAATCTATTTAATTCATTTAATTAATAATGTGTTTCCATAAATGTATGATAAATATTTGAACATTTATAAACCTGTTCACAAGTTTTAGTCATCACTATTG